TCATTTTAATTTTTTATCTGTGCCACACTGGGGTGGGGGGTGGGGGCAGGGATTGAACCCACGCCCCCTGCAGGGGGAGCGTGGAGTCTCAACCACTAGAGCACCAGGGAAGTCAAATGTGTGTCGTCTTAAGCCTCCTAGTTTGTGGCAATAGGAAACGAAAACGACATTAACCACCCGCAGAGCTGGACGGGGGGGGGCCCAGCGGAGGCCTCTGGGGGAGGAAGTTAGCAGTCCCTTTGCAAGCAGGCGGCAGGGCTGTGTCAGCCTGGGGGGCGGCTCTCTCCTTCCTCCACCAAAGGCTCTGCCCAGTGCCCCACCTTTTCCCCCAGTGATTTGGATGAAAATACCCACTGTACCTCCATATGCCCTGAAGAGGGGAGGCGGGGGAACAGGCTAACATCCAGAGATCTCAACAGAAGTGGAGTCAGGGGGCGGGGAGTGGTCTAAAAACCCAGGGCCCTGGGGGGTTGGGGGAGGGAGAGGCTGAGATGGTCGCTGGGCAGAGGACAACGGGTGTGTGATTAATTCCGGGGAGGGGCGTGCAGCAGCGGTGTCAGGGAAGGGGGTGAACCAACCTCGAAGTCCAGGCTTGCTCGGAAGGGAGAAATTCAGCTTCTGGCCTGGCCTGAGCCCCACCTCTAAGAGGCCACCAGCTAACAGTGTCTGCGGCCTCACCTGAGTGATTCTTCGCTGTGGGCGGGTCAGATGAAGACCCTAGAGAAGGGGGGTGCGTGTCAGGGCTGCTGGAGGCGAGGATACTCCCCCAGGTAGGGGTGGGATCAGTGGGGAGATGCTGGAGGGGTAGAATCGGCCAGCAACATTGTGGGTCCAGGGTGAGGGTGGTTGTCACTCATCTGTCAATCAGCAGGATTTATCAGGCACCACTGTGCCTACAACCCGAGCAAGGCTCTGGGAATTCCTCGATGAGAAGTAACTTGTCTGCTCTCCCCTCGAAGCTTCCAGACCATTGGGGGATGCAGGTAAGAACGGCATCTTGGGACAGGAACCCCAAGGCGTGGTTGTGGTCTTGGGAGTACACAGGATGGAAAACTATAGTGGACGGGACCTTTTGACTGAGATCCAAAGGGTTAGTAGGTTTCATGGGAAAGCCTGGGCCCCTCCCTGCAGGACAGTCCATCACTGCCTCTGCTGACCCCCTAGGATGGATGTGCGTGATTCATCCGTAACCCGTCTCATCTATATCACCAGTTGAGAGGCAAAACAAGGTCACAGCTCTTTTATTTAAACTTCTGATTGTATTTTTAATAGAAGATATGTTGATTATTATTCTCATTTGTGTTTGTCATATCTATTAAAATATACTAAGTATGTTAATTTAATACACTGTTAGACACATGTAAGGAGGTTATTGTTTAATCGCTATGTCGTGTCTGGCTCTTTGCAACCCTATGGACTGTAGCCCACCAGGCTCCTCTGTCCATGGAATTTCCCAGACAAGAATACTGGAGTGAGTTTTCATTCCCTTCTTCAGGGGATCTTCCCGACCCAGGGATTGAACCCACATCTCCTGCATTGGCAGGAGGGTTCTACAACACCAAGTCACCAGGGAAGCCCAGAAAGAAATATACGTATAAGTAAAGAGATCATGTCAGTTAATCCCACTGTTCAGTTAACCAGTTCACATCTAGTGTCTTTCCAGATTTTTTTGATGCACATGTACATCAATGTACATGTGTGTGCATCATTTGATGCACATAGGGCTTCCCTGGCGTCTCATACAATAGAGAATCTGCCTGCAATGCGGGAGACCTGGGTTCGATCCCTGGCTTGGGAAGATCCCCTGGAGAAGGGAATGGCAACCCACTCCAGTATTCTTGCCTAGAGAATCCCCATGGACAGAGGAACCTGGTGAGCTACAGTCTATGGTGTTGCAAAAAGTTGGACATGACTGAGCAACTAATACACACACACACACACGTATAAATATTTTTACAAAAATATCATACTGCTAATACCATTTATAATGTTATTGTGGTATCTGTATTTTACTTGACCTGCTTATAGGTCTGTATCATTAAGACTGTAATCTGCTGGATAGATACACCAGACTTTATTTAATTCCCTCCACTGAACATTTTGTGTAATATTTAGACAAGATCTTTGTGTATATCTGGTATAATTGTTTCCCTAGGATAAGGTTCTAGAAATAGAACTGCAAGGTCTAAGAAAGGAGGACCCGTATATAAATTCTCACAAAGTGAACTCACCCCTGTGACCTGCACCCCCGTCAAGGATCAGCAGGAGGCCCATCCTCGTCGCCCCCTGGTGGCCTCTGTTTGTCACTACAGCTCCCCCGTTGACAGGGTCTGGTCCCACCTAAAAAGGACCGAGCTGTGCTGTGGATGGAATGCTGAGCTCCTCTGAGCACGAACCGGTCAGAGACTGCTGTTTGCCTTCCACGCAGATGCTGAAAAGCACCCGTTGCCCCAGGCATGGGGCATCCTTTAAAAAGAGGCACTGAGATTCAGAGCAGGCTGCACACAGAACCGCCTGCAAGTGGCCTCTCTGTGTGAATTCGCTAATGGTTCAGGTTCCCTGCAGACGTTCTTTCTTTTTTATTCCATCCCTCCCTCCTGCCCCTCTTTTTTGCTCCTTCTCCTTTCCTGCTCTCATCCCCAGCTGGAGCGTGGACCCCCAGAAGCAGGGCCCTCCCAGTCTGGCTCACCGCTGCAGAGTCTAGAACTGTGGCCCCTAATTAATAGTCCCTAGTACAAGTCAGATGAGCGGCTGAGTGAGGCAGTCTCCGCTCTGCTCCTGTTTCCCCCGGGCGGTACACAGATCCCCGCTGGAGCGTGGTCCCAGGGGGCAGTGACTGTGCCGGGACCCAGTACTGAGTCTGATCCAGGAATCGGGAAGGCTGTGGACATAACAGGAAGCACCCTGGCCCCACAGTCAGACACACTGCTCTCAGACTTGACCCTGGCACAGATGAGTGCAGTGGTCTTGACCTTTACTTACCCATCTGTGAAATGGGGATACCATGGTACCCTGCAGCTGGAGAACTGAATGATTAAATGAGAGTGTTTTAAGATCTCCAGCACATTCCCTGACCACAGCTGGGTCTCTGTACGGGCAGTAGTAGCAGTAGGTCAGTAAACATTATCCAAGGAAGGCTTAACTGTCTAGTGCTCATTCATTCACGTGCCATTAAAAAAAGTTTTTTATGGGCCTAAAAGTTGCCAAGGGATTTCCCTGGTGGCTCAATGGTATAGAACACACCTGCCAATGCAGGAGACTCGGGTTTGATCCCTGGGTTGGGAAGATCCCCTGGAGAAGGAAATGGCATCCCACTCTAGTGTTCTTGCCTGAGAAATCCCATGGGCAGAGGAGCCAGGTGGGCTACTGTCTAAATAATAACAATAGCTGCCAAAGCCAACTCTGGCACTTAAGGCACATCAGCCTGTAAATGTGTCTGGAAGGGTCTGGACGGCCTGGACATTGATCTTCTGGACTGTATCCAAGGCCAAGCCCTCCCTTTGAGCAACCCACCTCCCCAACACCTCCCCCTGCCCCCTTCACCGAGTCTCAGGAGCAAAAGCCTTACAAATGGAAGGAGAAGCTCTGGTCCCTGGAGTGCACACGTGTGGCCTCTTCCTGGGCAGTAAAGCGGGGCCGGGGGATTAGTCACTCTTCTGAGAATTTTGTTCCTGAGCACTAGAAGCTCTGAAACAGCCATACCCCCTCCCCCATTGACTGGGAAATTCTGTATCTGGGTCTGCCCCCAAAATAAATATGCACATGCAAGCATGTATGGATGCACAAGTGTATGCACAAGGATGTTTGTTGTTCAGTCGCCAAGTCATGTCCAACTCTTTGTGACCCCATGGACTGCAGCACGCCAGGCCTCCCTGTCCATCACCACTTCCCAGAGTTTGCCCAAGTTCATGTCCATTGAATCAGTGATGCCATTCAACCATCTCACCCTCTGTCACCCTCTTCTCCTCCTGCCTTCAGTCCTTCCCAGGATCTGGATCTTTTCCAATGATCAGCTATTCACATCAGGTGGCCAAAGTTTTGAAGCTTCAGCTTCAGCGTCAGTCCTTCCAGTATTCAGGGTTGATTTCCTTTAAGATTGACTGGTTGGATCTCCTTGCTGTCCAAGGTACTCTCAAGAGTCTTCTCCAACACCACAGTTTAAAAGCATCAATTCTTTGGCTCTCTGCCTTCCTTACTGTCCAATTCTCACATCTTTACATGACTACTGGAAAGATCATAGCCTTGACTATCCTGACCTTTGTCGGCAAAGTGATATCTTTGATTTTTAACACACTGTCTAGGCTTGTCATATTTATAATAGGAAAACATCCAAGCTCCTAAATCTCCAGTTCTGGGGAAATGATTAAATTATGGCTTGTATTTAGGATAGAATATTATATAACTGTAAAATGGCATTTTGATAGGCTTTTTAATACAGGAGTATAAAGTGACATGTTTAAAGGTTTTCTCTCTCTCATACACACACACACACACACACACACACACACACACACACACAAGATTGAAAAGGAAGATTTCACAATATTAACAGTGAGTATCCCAAAGTGGTGAGATTGCGATTCTCTTTTTTTCTCTGTGTTTGTATTTTCTTAATGTTCTGTGCTGAGCCCATGTTGCTTAGTTAAGAGAAGAATAAAGACAGGTGAGGATGTGTGCTGTCAGGGCGGGCCTGGTGTTTAGAAAGGGAAGGTCTATACGTCCCAGTGAATTGCCAACTACCCACGGGATTGTCTGCCGAACAGCTGGGGGCCTTAATCTTTTCACCTGCAAGGTTGCCATGAACTTCTGCCTCAAAAGGTTGCTGTGAGCGCTCGTTTTTCTAGATGAAAGTACTCCCTGTCATTTATTTAAAAAGCCAGACGGGAAGCCCGGTTTCCTGCTATATCTTCACGCGGGGCTGCCCCAGCAGGCAGCCTCCTGTCTGCGGGCGGCCCTCCAGCCCCAGCCCTGGTTAATTCTCTCTCTCTCCTTCTTCCCAGCTCCCCATGATGGGAGGCGCCTTCATGGACTCGCCCAATGAGGACTTCAGCACCGAGTATTCCCTCTTTAACTCCTCCCCCAACGTGCACGCGGCCTCCAACGGCCAAGGTCAGCCGGAGGAGCCGCCCAGGTCCTCCAACGACGCGGTCCTGCTCTGGATCGCCATCATAGCGACACTGGGGAACATCGTGGTGGTGGGAGTGGTGTATGCCTTCACCTTCTGAGCCTCGGGAGCTCCGGGCCGGCCCACCTGCGCTGGACTCACTGATGGCGCTGTCCCCGCTGGCCTGTGACCGCACCCATGTTCTAGAACCAGGAGTTCTGACCGGGAGCACAGCCTCTCAAGCGGAGCGACCATGCATCCGGAATTTCCCCCAAGCAGCCCCGATTTCAAACCCCTCCCTGCTGTGGTTCTGCAGATCCAGAAAGTGTGGAAGCTTGGGCATCCGGCCCCTGGAGGCATGACAAGGCAAAATCTTCGAGCAACAGTTTGGAAAATTCTTTTTTTTTTTTTTAATTTTATTATTTTTTTTCCATTTATTTTTATTAGTTGGAGGCTGGAAAATTCTTGAAACTGCATTTCACAAACGTGAGATCGGAGGGAACAGCCAAGTTTGGTTTAAAATAACAGATGTGATTGGATGATCCCTTGCTGGCACTAAATCATCACTTATATGTCTTGTTTTTAGGCAAACATATTAATATCACCCCTGGGGTGTGGGGTGATGGGGCAAGGGCGGCCTTCAGGACCCGAGTGTTTCCACCCCAATCTGGTTTCCCACTCAGCCCCTTGGAATATTGGTGGTGGCCCCTGGAACGGTCATAGAACATTCCTCCTTTGACCTGGAAATGGTGTCTTTGATGCCAGACACCTGGTCCCTTATGGAACCCAAGGATGGGGGAGTTCCTGGCGACGTGGGTCTCAGGGGTGATAGTGGTGGTGATTTTTATCTGCCGGATGGACTTTCTCGTCTTTGTAAAGAGAAGAGAAGGTGCCTTTAAAAATAAGACCTGCCAGGCGGAGAACTCTTCTGGCTACCTGCTCAAGAGGCTCTTTCTTCTCTGAGAAGTCAAGGAACTCTCGAGATGAGGTCTGTGCATCTCGTGAATTGGTGGGTGGGAGAGAGAGGGGTGTGACTTGCCTGTGGTCGCAAAGTATGGGACGGCAGGGGTCAGAGCAGGAGGGACATTTCCTGACTGTGATTCAAGGCTGTCTCTGCCCCACCTCAGCCCTTTCTTGAGCACATTCCTGCCTTCTCAGCTGCCCTGGGTGGGCAGGGAGTATCCAGATGGTTCTGAAGCTGTGTGCAGGGTGGGCAGGGCGTTAAGATACCCACGCTTTAGACTCTGCTAGGCTACTGTGCATTTCTACAGGTGTAATTGTGTTCTGCCTGAGTCAGTTTCCTGATATGCTTAAAAATCAGTGGATGGGGAATCCTGGCTAGCCTGGGAGCCCTTTCATTAAGACCACAGGCCTGTTGGCCTTTGAGTGCACCCACATGCTGGGGGATATTCACACAGCAAAGGACTTGCTTTTCTTCCGTCCTTAGGAAAGTTCATGGCAAAGCACCTGCCTCCCCAAGACAGCCCTCCCTGTCCCCCCAAGAGTAGGGGGAGCTAGGACACAGGCTGGTTTGCCCACAAGTCCAGAGTGGCTTTTTCCTTGCTTCCTCCCTGCAGTTGGACAAAAGGAAATAGATGCCATAAACTCCCTCTCAGTGGCTGAGACACTTCAAAGACTGGTAAAGAAGCCCTCATGTGTATTTGGGGACAATTGTAAAAATTGAATTTGTCGCTGTGGTCTCAGGAGAAAAGCACTCTTGATGACAGGCGAAGGGACATCTTAAATGTCTGGAGGTGGCCACTTGTGTCTGGGAGGTTGGCCCCGAGCTACTGCGTTAATGGGGTTAGCAGCCTGACCTCCAGACGGCTTTGACCTTCACCTGACCTTCAGCTCAAGTGGTGGTCATGAGCGCTGGGCGTTAGTGTGGCCTTTGGGGATCGGGAGAAGGGATGTGGCACCGCCTCCCTGGACTCTTTCTGGAACCCCTGAGCGGAGCAGGCCTGGCTGTCTGCAGGCAGGACCAGCTCGGAGGCGGGGCTGAGTGGTGGCCGTTTCGAGCGCAGCATCTCAGTTGCTTCTCCAGTAGCCCCCTCTCTGTCAAGGCCAGGGCCCTGCCCCATGAGCAGACACGTGTGCTCATGAGCAAACCCAAGAGTGAGGCCCAGAGCCAGGGTGGTGAGGCAAGCTGTCTTCATGGGGCTCACTCCCGTCAAAACACCCCCACTCTTTGCCTTCTGACCTCACATCCCCTGGAAGCCTGCAGGCCTGTCCAAGGCAGGTAGCAGGTCCGTGTTCTCAAATGGCCTATGGGGGTGGCCCTGGGAGAGAAGGTTCTATGTTTGGTAACATGGGGTTGAGAGGGGAAGAGAGGAAATGTTGACTTTTAGCTCGAAGGAGACCTCCAACCTCCCAGGGCAGCCCTGGGGGCGCCCAGGTTCACTAGGTGTTTCTGGGCACAGGAGTCTCCCCTATGAAGGTTTTCTTTCCCCTGACGTGAATGTTAGTTAAATTCAACTTTCAAGTCTCTCTCTTTTCTTAATGTCAGGGCCAGAGATGATCAGGAGTTTCAGGGACCTTCTTGTCCAAACTTTGCATCCATATGGATTGCGGTGTCTTGTCCAGGGTCAGCCATCTCCATCTGCTGTGGTTTTGTTTATTTTTTTCCAGCTTCACTCAGATAACATCGTTGATTGACATGCCTGTTAATTTTTCCAGCCAGAGTGTGCTGTCTTCTCCCTCTGGCCACAGAAGGGGATCTGTCTTGGATGTTAAGTAAAGGCCATATTGCTTGAGTCTGTCCAAGCCTTGTGCCCTGTTAACAGGCACAGATTTAATCTTCACCATTGCCCTTGGTGGCGCTAGTGGTAAAGAACCCACTTGCTAATGCAGGAGACCTAAGAGATGGCGGGTTCAATTCCTCGGTCAGGAAGATCCCCTGCAAGAGGGCATGGCAACTCACTCCAGTATTCTTGCCTGAAGAATCCCATGGACAGAGGAGCCTGGCGGGCTACAGTGCCCGGGGTTGCAAAGAGTCAGACGCGACTGAAGTGACTGAGCATGCAGGCATTACTCTAGAGCATCGTTGCTCTGATGCGCAGATAAGGGACCAGAAGCTCAGAGGAGTAGAATAACTTGCCTGAGGCCACAGCAGCAAAGTGATGATCAGGATGAACCTGAACTATCTGGTCCAAAAGCCAGGCTCTTTCTGGAACGCCATGCTGCCTTTAGTGCCTGTGTGGCGTCTCCGGGCACCTTTAAACCAGGCCCTGAGTCTCTGGAGGTCATTTCCTGAGGTCCCACAGCATGGCGTGGCCCGGCTGGCTCTGACCTCTGCAAGTGGAAGTGTCTGACCATCCCTGCTCAGCCTCCTTGGGGAAGGGGTCCCTGTTGCCTGCCCACCTCTTTAAGTTGAACTCGAGTGTCTTTCCTTGGCCAGAGAAGCGCCCAGAGACCAGCGTTCTCAGGACACAAGCAGAAGGGCCCTGACTCAGCCCCACAGGAGGGCCCCCACAAGGAGGGGCTCACACAGCCAAAATCGATAAGGACAGTCCTGGGACAGTCGGCGCTGCAGGCTGGGCCCCAACCCAGGGCTCAGGCCTTCCGCTGAGTGCCAAGACTCTCCTGAGCAAGGGGGACGGATGCTCCTCCCTTGGACCGCAGCCTGGGGCTCCCGTTCTGGCTTCTCCTGGGCGAGGTTGGCCCCTGAGCCCACCCTGGCTTGACAGGCCCATGCTGAGGAAGGAGGGACTTGCCTCTTTAGTGGCTAGTCCTCAGAGAAGGCATCCCACCTTTTCTGGAATGTTCTCTGTATTTGCCCCTCCCCGTGCCCCTCCATTTCCCCTCTGCAAACTGTGAGCATCCCACATCCCACACCTGTGTGTGTTTCCATTTCACTGCGCACAGCAACACTTGCTTTAGGAGGGCAGGAGTTGTGGGCCCTGGAGCTTTGGAGGAACGGCCAGGCCAGAGGACCCTGGAGCCGGGCGTGTCCCCAGGGGATTCGTAGGCCCTGGGGCAGATGATCGCTCTGCGGGCTCCCTCTCTGTCATCACTGCCCTTTCCATGGGCCCAAGGTCAAGAGGCAAATGAGGCTCCCTTGGCCCCATCGGCCCGTCTACCCCCCAGAGAAAGAAGCTCGTATCTCCTTTAGGGAGTCCCGCGGGATCCAAGGGGAGAACTGGCTAGTAAGTACCGCTGGGCTCGAGAGACAACAGGCCACTCTCCAGCTTGTACTAAATGGAAGGCCTGGCCGCCTGCCTAGCATCCCTTGGAAGCTGTCCTTGGAGACTGGAGAGACTTGGCTGTCTGCACTGCTGCCCGACTCCTTCCAGACAAACGGTCCTCTCCTCTTGCAGGAAACTCACCTTCTCTCCTTATTAGTCGTGATGCCACTAACCGTGGTTGTTCTTCCTGCTGTCAGCCTACGCACCTCCCTTGTGCTGTGAGCCGTATCTCATTTACTTCTCAAATCACCCCTCGGCAGGAGTGAGGGTGCAGAGGGGTGCAGAGAGGTGCACGGGGATTATTGTCACTTTTTTTGTAGAGGAAGCTGAGGCCAGGCTGTGTGGCTGAGGAGCTGTGATTCAGACTGTAGGCGCGCTGGTTACCTCGCGTCTCCCCGCGTCCACACCCTCTGTGATGAGCCCTCTGGGTCAGAGCAACCTCGGACGAACCTCTGAGGCTGGGCTCTGCTGGTCCTAGAGCGTGGATTTCGATGGAAGTCCTAGAAAGGGGCAGACAGCCATGCGCAGGTATTTGTCAGTCTCAGAACCTCGCAGCAGCAAGAGGCTTTAGAGAGTGTTTAATCTGGACTTTCGGGAGGTCAGCTGAGGCCAGGCTGGAAGTTAATGGAGAGCTAACAGGCCCCTGGATGGATGCCAGGCTGGGGGTGTTGTGCATCCGCCCGGGATCAGTGAGGGATCCCAGATTGCCTGCTCCCAGCCTTCGGGTGGGCATCCATCGTGTTCTCAGCCAGCTGTCATCTGGCCCCCTTTGCCCCTTTGACTATCCTCTGGGGCTTCCATCATGGCTCAGATGGTAGGGAGTGTGCCTGCAATGCGGGAGACCTGGGTTTGATCCCTGGGTCTGGAAGATCCCCTGGAGAAGGAAATGGCATCCCACTCCAGTGTTCTTGCCTGAGAAATCCCATGGGCAGAGGAGCCTGGTGGGCTACAGTCTAAACAATAGCAATAGCTGCCAAAGCCAACTCTGGCACTTAGGGCACATCAGCCTGTAAACGTGTCTGGAAGGGTCTGGACGGCCTGGATGTTGATCTGGACTGTATCCAGGGCCAAGCCCTCCCTTTGAGCAACCCACCTCCCAAACACCTCCCCCTGCCCCCCTTCACCGAGTCTCAGGAGCAAAAGCCTTACAAATGGAAGGAGAAGCTCTGGTCTCTGGAGTGCAAACGTGCGGCCTCTTCCTGGGCAGTAAAGCGGGGCCGGGGGATTAGTCACTCTTCTGAGAATTTTGTCCCTGAGCACTAGAAGCTCTGAAACAGCCATACCCCGCCATTGACTGGGAAATTCTGTATCTGGGTCTGCCCCCAAAAATAAATATGGAGGATCCCATGGACAGGCGAGCTTGGTGTGCCATAGTCCATGGGGTTGAAAAGAGTCAGACATGACAGCAGCTAACACAGACACACAGACACACAGACACACACAGACACACACACAGAGCAAGTCCTGGATGCGCTGCGCTGCGCTGACAGGGACGCCCTCGGAGCTGCGCCCCTGACCCAAGGGAGCAGCGGGAGCCTGGATGTCCCATGTGCGCCCGTCCTGCCCCGCCTGCCCCACGGGGCCCTGGTCCTGGTCAGCAGTGATAGGGTGGAGGACAGCCAGGGGACGGAGCCCGGGGAGCGCACGGGGGTGGAGTCGAAAATCTCCAAGTGGGAAAAGAAGCCCCTCCAAGAAACCCAGGAAATCAGAATTCAGCGGTGGCCGGGTGTCCACAGCAAGTCACTTCTGTAGGTCAGACCTTGGGCATTTTCTTGCCCTTGTTTGGATGGGAGGAGGGAAGTGGGCAGGGGCAAAGCAGTGCAGACCATAGTGAGTATGGGGAGGAACGTTCCTCCCAGAGTGAGAAGACAGCAGCTACTGGGACTGCAATGGAATGAATGGTCAAGCGTACCTGAAACTGACTATGTAAATTTTGGAATATAAGTCCACATGGCTCGCTCTGAGTCTTGGTAAAAGTCGTACATTTTTTGTCAAGATAGAGAATGAAGGCAGAGAAGGCCCTTGGAGAGGTTGGTCGGGCTGCCCAGTTCCCAGGATGTGCGGCCCCTGCTTTTGTGCCTGCCCTGGACAACTCACGCTTGCCCAGACCTCTCCAGCCAGCTGTCTGATGAAGACTTTCATCTACTCCTGGGCCCTTTTGCAAGCTGACTTCCTGCCTTCCCAGGAGGAGGTTTGAGACCCTGCTGCCTTGGGAAGCAGTCCTGACAGATGTATGAGGCACATCCAAAGGGGATTCGTGACTACTGGGGGGATGCAGAGCCTCCCCGCCACCGAGCCCCCTCCACATGGTGAGCGGCCACCAGTGGCCTCAGTGTCAGTTTCATCAGCTCTCTCTCCCCCAGTGTCATTATGAACCAGAGAATCACCGCATGTATAGTTTAAAGAGCGGCAGAGGATGGGAGGGTTAGATCGCATCACTGACTCAGTGGACAGGCATTTGAGTAAACTCCAGGAGATAGGGAAGGACA